GAGCTCGAGAGGATGTGGAGGGTGAAGGTAACGGTGGTCCCCGTGGTAATCGGAGCACTAGGTGCGGTGACTCCCAAGCTAGGCGAGTGGCTCCAGCAGATCCCGGGAATAACATCGGAGATCTCTGTCCAGAAGAGCGCAGTCCTGGGAACAGCTAAGATACTGCGCAGGACCCTCAAGCTCCCAGGCCTCTGGTAGAGGACCCGAGCTTGAAGGATAAACCGCCCGCAGGGGCGTGCTGGGTGTTTTTATATATATATATATATATATATATATATATATATATATATATATATATATATATATATATTAGAGATGGCACGATACCACTTTTTTATGTCCGATGCCGATATCATAAATTTGGATATCTGCCGATACCGATATGAATCCGATATAGTGTTTTTTAATAAACAAAACTGTTTTTTTTTAATATCTTGCTGCATTTTGTATAAGTTCATACTCAAGTTTAAAACAACAACTACACTAAAGCTATTCTGTTATACCTGTATGCAAAAAAAAATGTTTCATAGTTCAGCAATACTGATCAATCTAATAAACTTAAACCTACACCATCCTCCCTATTCTGGTATTTTAAAGAGTACTTAGCGTAAATATTAAGCAACCTAACTAATAGGGTTCCAACTCCCAGCAACAACAAAAAATAAATAAATAAAAAATAGGGAACCACCCCTCACGCTCCACCTCATGATGCTTAATCGACATAATCAACCTTAATTTGATGAAGTGTGAAAAAAAATGCACAGAAATCAATTATTTTTCAAGAAATATTAAATAGATTCAACATCTTTCTTCAACAAAATTGCAGACTGCACAGATGGTACCTTCCCAAAGGAAAAAGTACTATAGCTTACTAGGGTATATATATTAGACTTAATAGTCACTATATACAGTAATTGACTTCTATTCATTTTACATCAAATTAAAAATTTGGGTGTCAGATAATTATTTATTAAAAGCTAGACATTTTAAATGAGAATAAGAAAGAAAAGTATGTCTTTGTGCCCCCTTTTCCCTGTTAATGCCCTATCGGCCCCCCTGGCTAAACTTTGCTAGATCCGCCCCTGCACAGTTACCAGCCATCAGCTACGTAGAAAAAGATCCTGGAGTAGAAAGTTATATTAAATAAATTCTAACAACAGCTGATCAAGCTTAAACGTGCTGCTGTTGTTCAGCCGCTGGTTTCTACTTTCTGGTGCAAGGTGGGCCAAAAACAAACAAGAGAGACAGAAAAGCCGATCAGCTGATCATTAAGCAGTTTCATGATTGAAGTAGCAGCAAGAAGAGGCAGTCGCTTGTTAAGCTTAACGCAGGAATGCTTTACATTCAGAGATGGACTTACACACTTGCTTTACTTCTCTCGGGGATAACTTTGTCGGAGATGAAATGCCGGGTTGCTAGCGAAGCTCCACATGCTATCCAGACCACCGACAGGTCCCGCATGCCACAGCCGCTCTATCACGTGATGCATACTGCTCCGACGTGCTAACTTCTGAGGTGAGTTACGGCGTGTTGCAAGTTTTGTGAGGTGCTTTCGTGATAATTAATGGATCGGATTACATTTTTTATTTTTCTCCGATATCCGATCCAGTAATTTAGGTCAGTATCGGACCGATACTGATGTGTAATATCGGATCGGTCCATCTCTAATATATATATATTAGAGATATATATATATATATAAAATATGTTTTGGAGATTTTTTGATATTTTTTCAGGTTAAATTATTACAGATTATATGCAAACTGTTTATTTATGCAGGTGTTTTTAGGAAAGATGAAGTGAAAATGTGTTACATTATGCTGAGTTCTACAAAATGTATTGTTTTTACATAATAAATTGTCACCGTGACCTTAAACAATTCAGTTACTGTACCTTTAACTGGGTAGCTGAAAAACTCAATGGAGTTATAAATCTTATACTACTTCTTGTCCATAGACAGAAACGCCTACTATTTGGCAAGTACAGCCTCCTCAGAGAGACTGACAGTGTTGAGCCTGAAGCAATTGCTTTAAATTACTGTAGGCAATAAACTAATAAGGTGATGAATGCCCTTATTACATCCTTAGGTGTAAAGTTTTAGCTTCATGATTTACTATTTACAGTTCATCTCATGTTAATTTACTTTTTTTAAGAGATGCTCTAAATTAAGTCAGCTATGCTGAATGACATCTTTATGAACACTTTTCTTTATTCATTAAATGAAGTGTGTGACTGGAACTACAGAATTTTAATGCATTCACAGAAGATTTAGTTATAACATTAGGACATTATCACATTACTATTGTGAATTGTTATCCCTGTATCTCAACAGAGCCAAACGTCCTGTTAAGAAAATGATATTGATATTGTTCAGATGTTCTGTTAATATTCATCATCACACAAGCGGTTACAGTATTTTAACAATCTGCCATGTTCAGTGGTGTTGTACCACGCAGCAAAATAAACTCTAAAATCAAACTGCACACTTATTGCTCCATGCCAAACAATTATACTTATTTCCCAAATACTTGGTGAAGACAAAGAACATTTTACCTCCTAGGACCTGGCGTTCACAAATGTGGACATCACATTTTGGGTTGTCTAGAGCAAAATACAGGGAGTGCAGAATTATTAGGCAAATGAGTATTTTGTCCACATCATCCTCTTCATGCATGTTGTCTTACTCCAAGCTGTATAGGCTCGAAAGCCTACTACCAATTAAGCATATTAGGTGATGTGCATGTCTGTAATGAGAAGGGGTGTGGTCTAATGACATCAACACCCTATATCAGATGTGCATAATTATTAGGCAACGTCCTTTCCTTTGGCAAAATGGGTCAAAAGAAGGACTTGACAGGCTCAGAAAAGTCAAAAATAGTGAGATATCTTGCAGAGGGATGCAGCAGTCTCAAAATTGCAAAGCTTCTGAAGCGTGATCATCGAACAATCAAGCGTTTCATTCAAAATAGTCAACAGGGTCGCAAGAAGCGTGTGGAAAAACCAAGGCGCCAAATAACTGCCCATGAACTGAGAAAAGTCAAGCGTGCAGCTGCCAAGATGCCACTTGCCACCAGTTTGGCCATATTTCAGAGCTGCAACATCACTGGAGTGCCCAAAAGCACAAGGTGTGCAATACTCGGAGACATGGCCAAGGTAAGAAAGGCTGAAAGACGAGCACCACTGAACAAGACACACAAGCTGAAACGTCAAGACTGGGCCAAGAAATATCTCAAGACTGGTTTTTCTAAGGTTTTATGGACTGATGAAATGAGAGCGAGTCTTGATTGGCCAGATGGATGGGCCCGTGGCTGGATTGGTAAAGGGCAGAGAGCTCCAGTCCGACTCAGACGCCAGCAAGGTGGAGGTGGAGTACCAGTTTGGGCTGGTATCATCAAAGATGAGCTTGTGGGGCCTTTTCGGGTTGAGGATGGAGTCAAGCTCAACTCCCAGTCCTACTGCCAGTTTCTGGAAGACACCTTCTTCAAGCAGTGGTACAGGAAGAAGTCTGCATCCTTCAAGAAAAACATGATTTTCATGTAGGACAATGCTCCATCACACGCGTCCAAGTACTCCACAGCGTGGCTGGCAAGAAAGGGTATAAAAGAAGAAAAACTAATGACATGGCCTCCTTGTTCACCTGATCTGAACCCCATTGAGAACCTGTGGTCCATCATCAAATGTGAGATTTACAAGGAGGGAAAACAGTACACCTCTCTGAACAGTGTCTGGGAGGCTATGGTTGCTGCTGCACGCAATGTTGATGGTGAACAGATCAAAACACTGACAGAATCCATGGATGGCAGGCTTTTGAGTGTCCTTGCAAAGAAAGGTGGCTATATTGGTCGCTGATTTGTTTTTGTTTTGTTTTTGAATGTCAGAAATGTATATTTGTGAATGTGGAGATGTTATATTGGTGTCACTGGTACAAATAAATAATTGAAATGGGTATATATTTGTTTTTTGTTAAGTTGTCTAATAATTATGCACAGTAATAGTCACCTGCACACACAGATATCCCCCTAAAATAGCTAAAACCAAAAACAAACTAAAAACTACTTCCAAAAACATTCAGCTTTGATATTAATGAGTTTTTTGGGTTCATTGAGAACATGGTTGTTGTTCAATAATAAAATTATTCCTCAAAAATACAACTTGCCTAATAATTCTGAACTCCCTGTACTACATTTTGCTCTACAAGGGCCTGATATGCACTTACGAGGACATTATACTGCCACTGTTTTATTGAAATCTTAAACAAATATGCTCATATGTGGATCTCATTTTTCTCAGAAACAAAAATTAGGTTAATAAAAAAATCAGGTAATTCTTTGTTTTTACATTCATCAGGTGCCAATCACCCCAAATATCAAAGAGAAATTAAAAATGCATGCCATGGAAGAGTTCGGGTCTTGGGAGGTTAAATAGAAAACAGAAGCAAAGTGAAAAGACAGAAAAGACAAAGATGTTTGGACACAGATACAGTCTAATGTTACTTAGAGTATTAGCTGGATGTGCATTACATATACAACTTTTTTTCAACATAGAATATGATATGTGCTGGCACATAATACAGCATGAAACCTTTTTTTGTTAATGTATTTATTGATTCTAATTTATTTTTAAATATTATTATAATTGACTATTGAGGTTTTAGCTCTTTAGGTTTTGTTATCTGACTTACAGTACATCAAGTGTATAATTAAACGTTTGCCAAGAAAGTTTTTTAATAACAACTAAAATAATGTTTGTTTTTCTAAATCTTCTATTTGCCTATGGAACAGATTAGACTTGGAACTGATTTTAATTTATAATTAACAGCAATGAAAGAAACAGGTCGCTTTACAAATATAGTACCTAATGCAGATATTTAAGCAGCTTCTATACCTGGTATGACATTGTTTTTCTAATTCTGCAAGTATCAGACATCCTCTTTTCTATACACAGAAGAAACTTACCATTGTCCTTGATGAGGACTCTACGACTTGGCAGAATGGCGGGGGATGGAGGAGGAGGAGCAGGAGGAGGAGAGCAATGGCAGTAAAAACATGGCTGAGCACCTGCCCACAAAAGACGGCTGCCAGCTCATAAAGTGACTCTACAGCTCAGCGTGGCCTCATAAATCCTTCTGTATCTACTATGGGCTCCACAGCGACAGATACAAAGATGTAAATGCAAAGTTTGACTCAAATTTGAGAAGATGCTTTGTAAAAGATTAACATGACTACTTTCTAAAGCATTCAATGAAGATTTATCAATTCCTAAAAGGATCTGATTCGATATGTTAGTTCATCATGGCATGGTGCTTTTTACCGTATTTTGATATAACAGAGCGAGATAAGCTGCTATATTAAAATAAAGACTTAATTGCTAAGAATGGTCAGATCTCTTATAAATTGCACAGAACTGTCCCAGCACTCATCCAGTGCCATGTAAAATTCACAAACTAAAATGCCTTTGAATGGTTTTTGACCATGAAAGTTTATTGTATCTTCGACAGTAAAGCACATTACATCATAAAAACTCAATTTTGGATTCACATTACCTTTAGGGCCCAGTTTTTATGTAATTTTATGTTTGGATGTGTGGTCACAATCTGAGTAACTATTGCAATATTGAACTAGTCGCTATAAAAAGTTTTTAAAAAAATCATCATCAATGCATAATGCAGGTGTTTGTGTGCCGAATGGCATTTCATTGTACTTTGCTTTCTTCCCTTGGTGAAGTGATTAAAGTTGGACTCCAGTATCCTACTGGGGGACTGCAACACTCACTTGGGCAGGATTGTGACAAGGAGGAATGGCCTTCCTGGTCTGAACCCAAGTGATGTTTATGCTGTTGGACTTCCATGCTAACCACAGTTACAGTAGATAACGACCACCATGTTCAAGTATAAGTGCACCGAGATGACCTAAGTTGCAGGTTGGTGTTGATGAAGTTTTCAGACCCGAAGCTGTATGTTTTGGACATTCGGAGACTCGGGTATCTGATCAGTTGCCAGATCTGCCAATTGATCAGATGGCAGGGGAGGGAGCTGGACCTGGAGTACCCAGATGTGTAGTGAAGGTGCATTGTGAGAATTTGGCCGAGGTCAGTTTGCAAGCATTCTGAGGGAGCCTGGGGATATTGAGTAGACCAGGTTACACATCTTAATTGCTGAAGCTGTTGTAGAAAGCTGTGGACACTAGGTGGTTGGTGTCTGTTGTGGCAATAACCCCATCAACCTCAAGACAGTCCTACTGAGCTTAGCTGCCTTGTGTGATGCAGCTGACAGGTGCCAACAAGCCAAATGGTATTGCAACCCGAGCAGTTGCTGCAGCAACAACTTGGGTTTATGAGGAGTTAAGGCCACAGAGCAAGACTTAAGCTCAGTTTCAAGACTTCCACTGTGCACTACGGTGGTTTGAAGTGTGAAGTACACAGGATGAGAATCAGTACTTCCAAGTCTGAGGCCATAGTCCTCAGCTAGAAAAGGGTAGATTACTCACTCCGGGTCAGGCATAAGTTACTGCTGAAATGGAGCAGTTTAAGTATTTTGTCCTCATCTCACCACTTGAAGCAGAACTTTTAAAACATTACAAATTCAGCAGATGGTAATTTTATTACGTGAAACTTTTATTTGTGCTTTAAAATGGTAAATCCCTAGGGAGTGTGTTTAATTTTAAAAGCAAGCTTGTCTTTAGAAGTAGAAAATATAGTCAACAGCAAGCACAATGAACCATACTTTTTTTCCTTTGGGTGTGGCAGAAAAAATTATATAGCAAGTTTATGATGAGTTCCAGTTGCCCATTCCCTGGGGTGCAGTTTTGTCAGCACATCACCTGTTCCTGATTTCCGGGCCATCATCTGGAGGGTTCTTAAATCCTGCCTGCCACTCTCCGCCAGCTCGTCCTGCTACCATTGGTGGTAACTCGGTCTTCCTTGTGTTCGATATTCATGCTCCCCTGTTTTTGGATTAATGTGTTTTCCGTCTCCAGTTTTGTCCATCTCCTGCCATGCTTATCAGCAGCACTGGTCTCATTTCCACCCAGCTCTCCAGTCTGCCTTCAGACTAAGAATTTCACACGTACCTGCTCCTCGGCCTGCCCTCCTGCCCGTTGCGTCAACTGTGGATATCTCTCCCCTGTGGACCCCCTGGAATCCAGATACATCTCACCTGCATATTCCTTCATCCCCTGGACACACTCACAGCTACCCCTCCTATGCCAACCGGTCTGCATCTACAAGTACTCCTCCACAAGTACTACTTACCTCAGCCCTCTCTCAACCTTGTAAACCTTGTACAAGGCTTGTACCTTTGTGCAATTGAGTCTGCTCTTTCCTCACTTTTCCAATCCCATCAAAAGTTTAAGACCACTTGAAAAATGGCAAAAAATCATATTTTGCATGGTTGGATCTTAACAAGGTTCCAAGTAGAGCTTCAACATGCAACAAGAAGAAATGGGAGTGAGACTAAACATTCAATTTATTGAAAACAATGCTTAAAGTGAAACAGGCTGTTTTACAGCTGATCAAACGTTTAGGACCACACCGTATATATATTGTCTTATGTGTAATACTGAATTAGAGTAGAAATTCAACCCCAATTCAATGAATTTATGCAGCATTTATGACACACTGTATTACCTTAGTGACTTAGGCATGATATTTTATTTTCATACACTCAAAAAACAGATTCAGGTCCTCCTTTCAAAGAACACATGCAAATTATGTTAGTTGTTCACAAATGCAATTAAAAAATACCAAATTAATTTGATTTTCTTTGTGTAAACCTAAAATTATTCAAAACCAGCAGAGGCTGATTCTGAACACAAAATGAATGAGTTTGTTGGGGCACTGGGGGTAGGAGGAGTACATTTTTGCACTTAAGTATTTGTAAACTCAAAGAAATCAATTCAAGCCCCTCTTTAAGCTTAAACATTATTTTTAATCTCATTCAACGC